TATGCAAAAAATTCCAGATTACAAATTATATCCGTAGCAAGAGTGATACAAATTGTTTCCTCCAGAGCACAATGTCAACTGTCCGTTGCAATGACAGTTTACAAATTCAAAATCGGTCTGGAGTCGGTCGATAACGGACGATTACGCCACTGTTTATGTTCGTTCGCGCAGTTTTCGATGAGTCATATCATTCTTAACTTGGACGGAAATGAAATTTGTTACAACGTTGCACTTAGTCTTTCATATTTGTTGTTAGTAATTTAAAAAACATTTTGAAACACATACGGAACGATAATATTTTTTAAAAATATAATAACACAAAAATGAAAAGGGAACTCAGGTACATTTATCGAGAGCCACAAATAATCCTTCAAACAGCCGCATGTGGCTCGCGAGCCGCAGGTTGGCCACCCGTTATATATATAATATAACATCAGAATTCTCAATAAAATATATTAAAATTAATATTATAGAAGGAATGAAAAGACACAAAATCAGTATAATAAGGAAACATTATTATTGCTAAATTTCCAAAAATTAATAATAAATTTAGTATGGAATTGATAAAGTTGTTTTGATTTGGAATTAATTAATACCAATATTAAATACTTGTATATGTAAAACTGTATAAGTGTATATACTATTTGATAATTGAAATAACAAGCTAAGAATTAATTTTTTTTAATAAATTCTGTTATCAATAGATAGACATTATAAATTCATTTTAAATACTCATTGATAATTTTACAACAAGATTATATTATGATTTAAACTCTCTGCTAATGTTTTTCTTAAATGTTTATAATTTATCTGGATATGAAATAAATATCATTTGAAGGACTAATTTATTATTTTTAATTAAAATTGCAATTTGTATTATTTTGAATGCATGAATGAATAACATTACTTTTCAAGCATCATTCTACTACAATAAATTCTTAGATTCATCAATGAGGATTCTAAACTTTTATATGCCATTTTCTACTTCAACAATGTATAGAATACATAACAAATTAAAATGAAAATAAAAATGCCTTACCTTTCTTTTGTTTTGCTTATTGTTAATTTTTGGAGCACAAAAAGTTTTTAAAATGATTCCATGTCTCTTTGGAAAGTGGATTATAAAATTTCAGAATGATACTTTTTCCTAGAATAATTTAAGAATTTAATTATTAAGAATAGAAGAGTTCAAGATGATTAATTAATTAATTAAATATTAAAATAAATTTCTAATATAAATCATTTATTGTTTCATTCAAAAGAATATAAGACAATATGCAAGCGAATATTATTTATAATCTGATAATTTAATTCGATGCTAAGTGGAAAAAACGTTAAAATATTTTTAATGAAAATTTACGATTTTTATACTTAATATTCTATCGACAATTATTCCATTTTGATCGCTTATAAATCAAAAAATTTACATTGCCTGCGTTATTCGGGTTTATGTAATTCAACATTTACGAAAAATCTCAAAATGAAGGGAAAAATAACTGGCAATTTCCAGAAAACTTTCTATTTCAAGATGGCGTCGGCAATACGAAATCGAACGAATTCGAATCGGTGGAACGTGCGATAAATGCGTCACACGTTACGTCATATGTTCTACGTCAGAATATTAACTAATTGCAAATGTTTTCTTTAAAATGCTAAAATAGTCCTCTTTTTTTTAAAATATATATTTGTAATAATAAATAACATTATAAAAACGCATTCCGTAACCTTACAGGTTACAGGCCGCAAATCTAGGTTTAAAGCGTATCTAATTTAAATTATTTAATTTTGATATAAATCGAAAAATATTAAGTTACCTACGTTACGCGAGTTTTCATTATTAAAATTTGTGCGAAAAATGTCAAAATGGAGGGAAAAAGAACTCGCAATCTCCGGAAAACATTCTATTCCAAGATGGCGTCGGCAACAATACGAAATGGAACGAATTCGAATTTGTCGTTGCAATGCGTCACGCGTTACGTCACGAGTTTTACGTCATGGATGTAATATTTCAAGTATTTTAATAGCATTTTTTAAAGGAAAGATTTCTTTTTAACAAATTCTTTTGTCTCGGATTTGGCAAAATATTTGTTAAATGTAAAACTTCGCTTAAAAGAAAATGTACTGTATTCGGATAAACGTAATAAAATCACCTAACTGGCACACAATAAAAATAATTTCTAATAAAATACGTGTTAGCATTTATTTTCTCGATTCTAATGCGCATCTATTTTGATCTTTAAGATTGGGATGTGCATTATAAGCCAGCACAAAGTAGACTTAAATTTTTCTTCAATCATTTTCTTGTATTCGCAATTTGATAAACAGATTATTTTTTGCATTTACATGGTGCAGAATGTCTACCGTGGAGAGGTAAAAGACGATTATCTTAAATTCTACGTCTCGAAGCTTGACCATCTCCGAAAATCGTTTGAATAAATATCTTTTTTGTCCATTTTCGGCCATGGTATGAAGTAAATAAAATTCTTAAGATTTCGATTTATTTTGTCCAATATTATTTCGCTTTTCGGAGAGATTCGTATTAAATTAATGAAACTTCAAACTATATAAAGTTAATATTTAAAACACGAAAAATCCTTTACAATACGGCCGAACGAAAATGAAGTTGGAGACAACACTGAAACCGATAGAGAAGAAACAGATTAAGAGGAACGACCATTCTTTCTCCTTGAATTTATGACTTTTTAAAGGATCTCTCCCCTAAAGTCTTAATTCGATCGGTTAATCAATTTGACCCTTCCGTTCGACTTTGTCCGCGAGTGTCGATCCAACTTTGAAACTTTCGCTCGTATCTCATGCCATGATATTTTCTTTTCTGACTGCTAAAAATTTTTTTTTGTCTTCATTACTTACAACGTGAGTTTTGTTTTCAAAGGAATGTTACATTTATATCCAAATTTTGTCATGTCTACGAGGTCAGTGTCAAAGCTCGATTTTTTCGATTGACATTCTAAACATTCCGTTAGTTACGCAATTTGAAAAATTCCCACTGTCGTCGGTCGGTCCGAGAATGGAATTAGATGAAATCCGAGACCAGATATGGAAACCTTAGTGACAGAAGGCTCCAATTAACTATACATAAACTTCGGATGCAAGCCGGAAGTCACGGTTTTTCAATTCAAAACTCCCCCGAAAGCAGTTAATAGATGACTGGCACGACTCTATTATCACAGGAAAAGTATGATGTACACGGGTATGACACTACTAATTTGAGGTGGAGAGCTTATATTTCAAATTAAAAGATTTAAAAATATGATTAAAAATTGCAGCCCGGCATTGTGACAATGTCGCAATAAATAATTGTTCGTACTTATAGTTTGTTTCTGAAAACTTTGGTTTCAACTTGTGAAAATATTTACAATGAAAAAGCACATTTCGACCTTTGTCATGTTATGAACTACAGTATTGAAGTTAAAATCTTTCCAAGAGGTAATAAGGAGTTAATAAATGTGGAAAATGGAAGAAGCGTTGCATTTACCCATGAAAAATAGACAAAGAAAACATGCATATCTGATGTGCAAATGCGACGCTTCTTCCATTTCTCACAATTATTAATTCTCCTTCTTTTCCTTTACAGCAATCAATTTTTGGTTGAACCCTTTCTTCTCTTTTCTAACCTCCACATAGAATTTTCTTATTTCATTAGTTCTTCTATTTTCTTCCATTTCTTTTAGCTTTGCATTTACCCATTCTCTCTTTTTCTTCCTACACAATTTAGATGCCAGTCTTCTCTTTTCTTTGAAGTCTTCAATATTATTTTCAGATTCATCTTTAACCTCGCATTTCTTCTTTCTTCTAATGCATCTCTACAATCCATATCAAACCAACTATTTCTCCTTCTTTTTCTACTACTTCCAAGTACTTCTGCTTACCTCTAGTCAAATTATTTAATTTCTAATATTTAATTATAGCCTTTACATAACCCAAGAATTTGGTACAGTAATACCTCGACTTACGCTACCCCGGCTTACGCGAACCCGGAGTTACGCGATTTTCAAATCTCGTGGATTCGTCTTTTGTTTGAGCGCCACGCAACTGTTTGTTTTTCGAGATGGCGTTTT